CCCCTTCACCAAAAACTAAGTAGATTATTAGAATATATAGATTGTGTAGACAATGTAAGTCCCAAAATATATTTTATTTCATCAACCACAATTTAAACAACAAAGTTTCTAGATGTTGTGTTTTTTTGAACAGGGATGATAAATAAGACCTATTAAAAATTATAATCAATAAATTAAATACACTCCCTGACCCAAAAAACGGGCACTTTAAAATTTTGATGCGCTTTAAAATTTAATATATTTTGTTCTAGTGGGCCGATTTTGATGATTTTTTAAGCAATTTGTAGCTAAATTATTTGACTTTTTAGTATATCTTTCTAAATTTACCAAACCAAATTTAAAATAAAACTTCTCATCTGTCAATTATACGAAGGAAAAGTCGTGGTTAAAGTTTGAAACACCCTGTGGAATTTTTGTTGGAGATATTTTCTTTTGAAAAAGACACTAACATTTTTTCGTTCATTAAATGATGGAAAAACTAAAAACATATAAGAAAATTATTCATTTTAATTTAGAAAGAAATACTAAAATGTCAAATAATTTAGCTACAAATTACTTAAAAAATCTTCAAAATCGGTCCACTAGAACAAAATATATTAAACTTTAAAAACCATCAAAATTTTAAGGTGCCCGTTTTTCGTGCCGGTGAGTGTAGAAAAAAGTTGCTGCTTCTCTACTAAAATAATAGTTATATAAGATGAAAGAAATCAACCCCCCTTTGGAATAAAAAATCACCAGGTCCCATCGAACGTAAACACGCAGGGGTTTGCTTCCTGTTTTAGACTTATATAAAAAAAACACACCGAGGGATTTAATTATTTTAAAAATAAACTGGGCCTCCCATTTATTTTTAGTGGCGTGGTGTTTTTTAACCGTCAAATTCCGGGGGAGGGAGACCTAGTGTGGGGTATCTCACGACAATTCCGACGTGCAAACCGTATCACTTAGTTTTCCTAAAGGACTTTAATCCCTTTTAGCGATTAAACGCCGAGTAGGCCGTGTCTCGTTTCGGCATTCGGCATAGAATGGCAGCGATTTGGTCGAATACGGATGTAGCAGCTTATGTAGTCTTAAACAGAACAAGACTATTAATTCACAAAACTGATTTATACGCACCCATTTGAAATATGGCCCAATAAATTACCACCGTCCCTGGATCTTTGCATGTGAAAATCCTTTCGTACAAAATACGTAATATGTTTGTATTTTGCAGGACTTTTTCATCCTTGTTTTATTTCATATACAGGGTGGCGCCTCTCATACGCCGCGGAAGCTCCAAGGAGAACGGTAGTTTATATCGAAATGAAATTTTGGCAAAATATGTAGGTTGTGCAATAGAGTTGATTTACAAAGAGCAAATGAGACGGGTAAATGGATTTATGATAATATTTAAAGGTTTTTATTATTTTTCAAGTGAGAGTTCATAAGAATAAATGAAAAAAAAACACTGCCTGGTTGACATTTACATGTGATTAGTCTAAACAAGCAGAGCGATATTTGTCAATACGCGGTAGTAGATAAATCAATTAAATGAAAAAAAGGCAGCCCTGATTAAGAAGTCGGAACAAACAAAAGTGCGGGGTGGAACGTTCGGCTTGGGGTTGGTTTGCGGCCCATTGGTTGCGGAGAGGGTGGCTTGGAAAAGCAATATAATCCACCCCCATGTGCGTGTCCTGCGGTTCGCCCCTGTGACATTTCAGGCCGCGCTGTGTCCAGAACTAATTCAGGATCTCCTTTTTTAATTAACTTTTCACTTTTTTCGATTATCGACTAGATTGAAATTTAAAAAAAACAATTCTCTAATAGTTTTTTTTCATATTTAATATATAGGTACATTTTTTTCAATGTGCAATGAAAATGGTTAGAACAAAATTAAAACCAGGTGTTCGCGAAGTTGGTTTACAATATTAGCAAATGAATTACAGAATATTCTAGCGAACCAGAAACGAATAAAACGTCGTAGGTGGTGGGTCAGGTCCTGGATATTGCGAAGAAATAAACGGGGTGCTAGTGAAACTATATTAAAAGAATTAATTAACTTTAACGTAGTAAACTTTTTTACGTTGTAAACTAAACAAATCACGAAAATTTAGTTCTCACGCTTCAGTTTCTATTCATTATTCGATAATGATCAGTCAAAAATGAAAAAAAGTAGAACTGGTTTTCACTTTAACTGAAAGTACGAATGTACCTACTGATCATTTAACATGAAAATGTGTTCTGACGTTCATTATTTGTTCAGTATCACTGAATCAGTCACACTGCGTCAGCGAAACTGACAAGTGAGAACCCGCCTTAAACTTAAATTTAATTAATTCAAAGAGACCTGGTTTATACGTTAAAAAAGAATAAAAGAGACTTTGAGACTATTTTCTTTTTTAATTTATACTTTTTATGAACAAATTTGCTTTACACTTTACAATTAAATAATTAATTCTAATGTAATTTCCAGTATGATTTTTTTAATATTTAATATCATAGATACATTTTTTTTCCAAGAATTAAGGGTGTGTTTGAGATATTTGACATATATGAAAAATAAATTTGTTCTTGGCCTCTTCTTCTTTTTTGATACACAGAGTGTCCTAAATTCAGTGTTGGCCAAATGGCCAGATTATGGCATAGTTAAACAGTTAAATGACCACTTGAATTTAGGCCACCCTCTACAGGACATTATCAAAAACTCGAAATTAGAGATTAAAGCGGTCTAATTTTCCAAAATACATAAAAAAGTTACATGTTGTTAAGTTATGTTGTTATCCTATATGATATCTGTAACACAGAGTGTTACTAGTAATTCCTTCACATTAAAAATAAATTATTCTTTATACACCAAATAGTGTAATATATAGTAAAGAGTGCTTATCAGATTAGACATTCGGTGCTATAGATTAATGTGGATTACAAACTAAAATTAAGTCTTGATGCTAATAACATAAAAAACAAATCGAATAAGTTAAATTTGCCGTTTGAGGTTTTATCCTTGCCACCTCGTGCCAGATTAAAATTCTGGAAAAGCCGATGCATCCATCCAAAGAAACTAATCCAATAAAAAACAAACAGGGATTTGGGCCGTTTGAAGCTGTATTGTCGTTGCGTTCTCCACCCGGCGGGAAAAAACGAAAAAAAAACAAAAGAAAGCTTTTAGATGAGGTAGTTGTCACGTATAGACTGGCTAGGATCACTTGCTAGTCCATTTTCCAAATTAAAAGGGACAAAATAAAAAATACGGTGGCAGGAGAAGAAAGGGACATGTCGTTTTAGATAGACCAGAACCGGACCCAGACTTTGACCGCTCGACATATTGTTTTCAGTTGAGGGCTTTCAGAAAACGTAACTTTACATGAAGAAATAACGCACTTAACATATTAACTTGTAGTACTTGTCAAAGAATTTAGATACGTCAATATGATTTACCTGCTTCAGTAGCGTAGCGGATGTTAGTGTGCACGTTTTGAATAAAATTAGAACTGACAAACCGGAATTTAAGTCGGCCATTTTTAATCCCCATCGCACTCAATCTAAGTTTTTTGATATACTCCTTTAATCTCTTTATTCCAAGTCAGGACCTAGATGCAAAGCCATACAGAATAATAAAGTCAAGAATTAATATTGAACTAAAGCAAACTGTCAACATTCTGGACCAATGATCTATTTTTTTATCTTAGAAAACTACAATAAATATAGACATTTATAGTTCGCTCACGTACACTCTCCACTTGTCCCTGTATGTTTATATCGTTGATATTTTTTAGATTAGCAGAATTTTATTTGTATGCTCCCCAGCTGTACAGTAATATTTCAAAATAATTCAGTATTTAACATTTACATTTTTATGAATATAATATTTTTTTGGATCGATCTGTTCTCGTACACATGCGGACAATCTGAGCTTCAATGTAGCTCAGAATACGACTTGTTACTTAACATAAGATAAGCGAGTACCTACATGATCATAAGTCGAATGGTTGTGACGTAATAATAAGTAGAGTAGTATTGTTACAAATAGTAGTGTTGTTACAAATGCTTAAAATGCATTATAATATATTATAGGGTAAGTGATACATACCTACTACACCATACTATATTTTTTAAGCAACTACATATTTGTTCAAAATAATTCTTAAGAAATTACATTACAGTAAGCTGATCAAAATCCACTTCATCATATTCTACGATACCGTATAAAATGGGGGATATAAAGAGCCCATAAAAACAATAAACTAGAAAATTTAGGGTCCCAAAAGAGGAAAAATATAAAATAGCGAGACTTGAGCTTTAGAGCGACTGTCTAGAATCGTTGGAATAACTTCTGAGGCGAACTATGTTCGTTTCGTGTCATTTACTTCTCAAAATCGCCCTTAAAAAATGGGATTTTGGAGACTTTCCCCATAGCTAAGTAGTTTAAAAACATGTGTGCCTGTTGGGGGTGAGGGAATGTCTAGCATAAATGCATCCTGCTGGGTTGTATTCGCTTTTCAAACATATTATTGCTATTATCTTAAGCACACTAAATTTATTCATTTAACTGCATTATTCTCCGATAACATCGTATATTTATATATTTTTCCATGTCTATATACTTATATAGACATATAGGGTGTTAATAATATTTTTAATATTGACATTTGACATCACCATGTCACCACCAAACAAAAATTATTTTTATTGTAAAATATTAGGTATGTACCTTTTTAAACTTCATTTCCCTGCAAATTTAAAACTCTCCCAAAATTATAAAATACTTACCAAATCTCATTTTTTTATTAAGAAGTTTTATGTAATAGTAGAACGCTTTAATATCTAGATCTAGGAATGGGGTGAGGCAGGGTGCGTCCTGTCGCCATTTCTTTTATATCTATTATCCTCTTTCTATTATCTATTATTATATAATAGATTATATATAGATACATTATTATATATATAATAGATAAATATATATAATATATATATTTATCTATTATCCTCTGAGATGATATTCTAAAGAGAATAATTTCCAGGAATCATCGTAGAATATTGTGGACTCCCATTAGCTTGTTAGAAGATCTCAGTTATGCAGATGACATCAATCTCCTTTTCATAGTCACGCGGATATCAATATTAAGAAAACTAAATCGATGAGAGTTTGTACCAACAATTTCGCTCCCTTTATCATTGGAACAGCAGCTATAGAGGAGGTAAATAATTTTACTTACTTGGGTAGTATAATCTCAACCAACGGAGGCACAGAGCAAGATATATAAATATAATAAACAAGATCAGAATAACATTTGTAATGCTCAACAATAATTGGAGATCTAGACTCTCAACTTATTAAACTTAAAATGTTCAATTCGAATGTAAAGTCAGTATTGCTGTATATCTCTTTATGTATTGCTTATATTTCTGCTGAAATGCATAATTTTTAAAAAGAAAAGTTTTTCAACTTTAGAAGAGTTGCAAGTTTCTGTTTTTCATTCTAGAAATTTTTCTAAACATAGACACACAAGAAACTTCTGGCGGATGTGTACATTTTCATTTAGTGATAAAATATTGTAAAAATATAGCCAGATTTGAAAAGCACTTGGCAATTGGAATTCGTAAGCAGGGGCGTTTTAGCTTACAGCGTGTTTTGATTGCTTTGGTTTAGTTTGTTTTGTTTTAGTTTGGTTTTTTGTCGGTACGGTATTGATGTATAAACTACAGTATCTATTAGACTGTAGGTATGAACGTATGAAGAATGTAAATAATGTAAAGCAAGAACATGTTTTTATAAAACTGATTTCAGTTATTAAGTCGGAAAAAAGAAAATGTTACATTTCCGCAGAGATATTTTTATGATTTTGTGTTTAGGGAGGCTTCTATATACTGAATGTTTGTTGTTTTTTTTATAAGTGATTTCAGCTAAAAAAAAATCACCCTATATCTTTTGTAGGAATAATTTCTTATTATTATACTTTTTTTGAATTAAAATAGGGTCCTATTTTTTGATAGAAGACGTATTATCTTTGCTGGCCATTAGACGTGAACTGGCGGTAAATTAACAGAAAGTTAATGCGGTACATCTGGATCTGGGGAAAAGAGGAAGGAAAGGAACAAAAACAAGATGTTTTTTTGTAATGACAAATGGCCGTGGGGTAGACGACGATGGCGGACACAAAACGGAATTTAAAAATAGTCGAAACAGCATAAAATTTAAAATATACGCCCGCGTTTTTGCCGGCGATACCCGGCCATTTCTCGGACTCTCAATTATAATTACAAGAAACAAGGAATGTCTTAATCGCCATCAGGAACGAATTAAAACAGTTAGAAAGTTATAAAACGAAAATTATTGTTTTGCTTCCGATAAGGTATGTTTTTTATAACGGGGGCAATTTGCATTTTAATTGCGGAATTAGCCGATTTTTCTTCCTCCTATTAGTATGGTAATCTTTATTAGGGTTTGGCAAGACGCTTTCAAAACAAACAGCTAGCTAATCGATTTAAAACAACTTTTTAGGGATTAGTTTGCGCGAAAAAAAATCTATTTGCTTTTTTAAATATGCCGCCCTGAATAAACACCAAGATATTTAATAAAGTTGTCATTATTTCTATATTCCATGTTTTTTTCAGTATAATCCTGCAATTAACTAGAATTTTTATTTTTGTAAATTCATGCAATAACAGGAACATTATAATTTAATTTTTATTATACCGGGTGCGTCTCAAAAGTGGCTCACCCCTATAACTTTTTTATTTTTTCAAATAAAAAAACGAGATTTGGTATGTTAGTATATGACATAAATTAGGATTGATTGACGCATTCAATTGTTTTTGGTCATTTCCTGTTGACTACAACTTTTGATTTTTAAATGGCACCCTCGGTATATTTTTACTTTATTCGATAAAAAATGACACTCTGAATAGAATGACATATCATATGTCAACTTTTGACATTTTCGCTTAAAACAAATAATTAGTGCTATGGCTGCGTTAAAAATACTAATTTTTAGTCAAGAAGCCTTGGAAAAATAGATTTGATCGTCTAATCGTTTCAGTGTTTTGTCCTGGCCAGTTAGAAAATGCTCAAATCGTATTTTTAACCATATCTCATTTTTTTTTCAAATGGAACGAGGGTGGCTCATTACCATATTTGGAAAAAGCATTTTTTTACGAATAATTTGGTACCACACATTTGGTATTTCGAGTCAAATTTTTGTTACGAACCGCAAGTTATAATTTTAAATAAACCATATGCAAAAATGTCAAAAGTTGACATATAATATCGTCCCATTGCTGCCAAAAGTCACTAACTTACTTTTTATTACTTACGAGAAAAACGCGTCTAAAGATGAATTGCATTGCATAAAAATGTTATAGTTAGTAACCATTCGGTATTAAAATACAACGTAAATAGCCAGGAATCGTAGTTAATCCTTTTTTAATCGATTCTCCGCTTCAAAATACAGTTAGTGATTGAATTTTCAGGTTCGGAAAAATGTTAGTTAGTGACTTTTGGCAGCAATAGGACGATATGTCATTCTATTCAGAGTGTTATTTTCTATCGAATAAAGTAAAAAAAAAATACCAAGGATACTATTTAAAAATTAAAATGAATACGATTTTTCCAGCTGCCAATCATCTTTCCAGCATGGTGCGTGGATCCAGGCCGACTGCGACAAATCCATAAATATAAATGCACCGGTATTTTTATCAGTCAGTTTCCATTTCGCATGGTCGGATATTACTAAGATATTTTAATTTCCATACGATTAACTCTCCATCTGATTTCGGGCCATAAGAAGGATCGTTTGCGAAACGAGTCAGCCATCTACACACCAGTCAAAAGCCCTTTTATCGTGCCGGATTTGAATTTTCGAGTGTGTCTTTATTGTCAACTTTATTTCTAACGTTGTCGCTTACGCCATAATACGTGTAAACCAATGAACTGTTTACTTTAGGAATTGCGTCATTTCTCCCCATTCAAATTATCCCTAGTTTGATTTTCTTTCGTTTATTTTTTACACCATAATACGGTTTTATCTTTTCTTTTGCTTATGTATTAGGTTCTTAAATATCCATTTTAAATCTTAAATTACATTATACCAAATAAATGATGTTGAGGCTCAACTGAACTGAATGTTATAATATTATATAGCTGATAATGACTTTACATCCCGTAGAACAAAGAATGGGAGGTAGAATGTAGAATGAGTGGGAGGGGGGCGCGAGAGGAATCACCGCGACCATACAGATCTATTGTGCCCCCCTTTCTTGAGTTATAACTCATCATACAGACCTAGGACATTGACGAAAGCCAGTATCTGAGACGGTCTTATAGAGGATAGTTCTCCATTTCCCATATCAGTCATACCAAAGTTTATGGCACGAATAGTTGTCGTCTCGGCGCACTCACTGACGAGGTGTTCTGGTGTTTCCTCATTCTCCCCACAGAATCTGCATTCGCCGTTTTTTCTACTGAGGTGTTCGTTGAGGAGACAGTGTCCTGTTAAAAAACCCGAAGATTGTTATACATATATTGATAAAGTATATAACAAAAACCATACAATATCCAAAAATAATAAAAACCATACAATATTCAAAAATTAATTTTGGATATTGTATGGTGACAGACCACTCTGCAGCCGTTAAGGCTTAAAACAAGGTCTGTACCTTTGTGGCAGGTTCATATCTTGAAAAAATTCTTTGTTTTGACTGACTGTCTAATAAATTCGCTGTGATTCAGCTCTAACGTTAAATGGAAATTACGAAAACTTGATTTGTTGTGTACCTGCTGAAACAATAAACAGGTGATCCTGCCCTCGAACTTATACCTGAAAGGGGGAAATTCTACAAAAAGAGGGAGGTAATAAAAGTTGGAAATCGCCATTTTAAAATTAAAAAAGGGGGAAGTACAAGCACTCGAAAGAAATTAAACGAGCATTATTGGAAAACAAGAATAAGAGACGAGTTGTTTGTTGTTTGGTTTTGCGGTCTATTAGATGGCAAATCGGCGATGTGATGCTGGAGAGAGAAGGCTTTCATTTAGGCCGTTGCGCCACATAATATAAGATCAAACGAGCTGGTGGGCCTTTGCATTGAAAAGCAAAACCTTTTGATGCTCCGCGCCATTCAAACAAAGTCACATGGACGCTTTTCAGACCGCAAGAGGGAATGCTTCGTTTCGGAATAAAAATCTTTCATCAAACAGTCCCCGCCTGTCCCAATGGCAAACCTTCTAATGAGTAAAAACATCCCTTTATATAGGTACATTTTATATCTTCAATACACATATTTTTTAAAAGAACGAAATTTGACTTCGTTTTTTTGTTCTCTAATATATTTACAAATATTATCTTCTTTCATTTTGTATTAACTCAAATAAGGTTTTTTATTAAGGCGTATTTACGTCACCAATTGAAAAAAAATATGTCAAGTTAATCTCTGTTTTCTTGAAATGATATGTCTGCGTGAACTGCGAGGTCTGACAGATTCAAATTACGAGCAACAGAATCAAATTATTCTATGTGCCGGGCTACAGCGGCATCCAAGGCAAAGAAAAAGACGATGAACTAGCAAGGCAACGATCCCCGGAACCCTATCTTGGCCCAGAGTGAGTACTGGGAATGTATGACCCGTAGTAAAATTCTGGATCAGGGAAAAACAGAATGTCCACTGGAGAAACGGGCACAGGCATAGCAAGTCCTTTACCCAAGTACCTAATTCTAAAACCACAAAGGAACTACTGATGCTTATGAGGAATAAAGTGCGCATTATAACAGGTCTCTTCACAGGACATATCGTCAGTGAAACGTTAATTGAATAATACATTTAATACATCACATACGTTAAATTTTTAACGAAATATTGGGTTTTATTTTTCCCCAACAAATATTATTATTTTGGTAATACTTTTGGTACCGTTTCTTTTTTCTCCTGTAAAATTAGAAATAATGCCGACGATATGTTTGTCAAGTACTACCTGAACAAGTTCAACCTGTATCAAGGAAGTCTTTGTTGCAGACTCTGCTATAAAGATCCTGAAACAGCGGAGCACATAATATGTCGCTGCGAGGCTCTGGATCGCAAGGCTAGAGCCGGAGGAACTATGCTTCTTGCTTCCATCCTATCAAGGACCTGCACAAGTTTGTGCAGGGTCCAGAGTTAAGAGATTAAAATATTAAATACATCAAATAAATTAATACCGTTTAGAATTTTAACCAACAGTACAAGAAGAAATATCTACTAATCCCGAAAACCTGAGCGGCCATAATTAACAAGAAGTCTCTGTCTCAACCCCGAAATTCCGAAAAGACATGAAGGGGAAGAAGGAATTTTTTATTTGTCACCAGATAACGAGCACTCTGATAATGAGCTCGCCAAAGGTATATCACGTCTACCATAAATAATAATTATGCGAGGTTGAGAGAGAGAGGCCAGGGCCCAGATGAGAGCTCGACTAGTGCAGATGCATATTCTAATTACTCGGGGTGTAATTGATTTGGGTTTCCATCTCGCGGGACCACGATGGATCGGTCTCCGGAGATTTCGAGGCTCGTCGCTGCGGCAGAGGCATCATATTTGTTTAGCGTCGCATCTGGAATCAACCTTACAGTACAGGGAAACCTCCAATTAGGAACATACCATGTTTGATGGACATCACAAACTCAGTGTCTTCTATAAAATCTCTATTAAAAATATTATAATTATTACTGTGCCTTTATTACTCTCACTTGCAGATATAACTAATATGATGTAAGAATTTTATTTTGGCCACATATAAGAAGCTTTTAACTTCATTATTTTTTAGTTTTTTTATTCAATTTTACTAGGAGTTACGAAATGGCATACACTGTAAGATGTTATTGATATGAACTATATTTTTTAACTGTGACTAACCGCCTACCCGAAATACATTTGCTATATCCTGTATTTAGAAATGTAATATTATTAAAATATAAGACATTTTATTTTCATTTATAATAAATATTTTCTTTTTCTTAGTAACGTTAATGAGACATCAAGAAATCTAGAGATGTAGCAAAAATTGAGGATGAATAGCAGTTTTACCTGAAGAAAGAGCAGGTAAGAAGTCGCCGATATATTGTTTAGTAGATGTATATGTTACTTAACTTATTGCATGATCAATTTAAAAAAGTATAGGTATTCTTAAAGATCACACCAATAATAGTAAAGGGTATAGCCGGATTAATATAGGAAATCTGCCCCGCGGCTTTTTTGACCCGCATTCAAGGGACCGATTTGGTGTCGAATCAAAAATAATTCACCTAAATTTTTAACTTTTTAACTCAAAACGGTTTTCGAGATTTTCAAAAAAAACTGTTTTTTTCACTTTTATTTTTATTTTTATAGTAAAATTCAAAATTAATTAAAAATAATATGATCATGGTTCTTAAACGAAAAGCCGATTTTTAGAGGAGGGAAGAAAATTAAAATATTCATTTTTTTAACCTTTCTGAAATATGTCACTCACTAAAAATCGTCAGAAAATGTCTTTTATACACCGTTACACACAGGAATTTTTTAGAATTTTTTGAAGTGGTGGAACAATATGAAAAAAATTAAACTCATTTTTTTTTCTAAAATCTTTTTTTTTCTAAAATCTTCTCGGGCGGAAATTTTTTTATAATAATCTTTATGTTTATTTCTGGCAAGGATGTATTTTTAATGAAAAAATATTTTCTACGCACTTTTTTAAACTAAACAAAAATATAAGTTAGTTAAAACAGAAGATTTTAGAAAAAGAATGAGTTTTTAATTTTTTTCATATTGTTCCACCACTTCAAAAAATTCTAAAAAATTCCTGTGTGTAACGGTGTATAAAAGACATTTTCTGACGATTTTTAGTGAGTGACATATTTCAGAAAGGTTAAAAAAATGAAGATTTTAATTTTCTTTCCTCCGCTAAAAATCGGCTTTTCGTTTAAGAATCATGATCATATTATTTTTTCATGTCTGAGACTTCCAAGAATTAAAAAAAATCATCATTAATTAATTTTCATTTTACATATAAAAATAAAAATAAAATTGAAAGAACAGTTTTTTTTGAAAATCTCGAAAACCGTTTGAGTTAAAGAGCTAAAAATTTAGGTTAATTATTTTGATTCGACACCTAATCGAGTACGAGTTAAAAAACCGCGGGGGCAGATTTCCCATATTAATCCGGCTAATGGCTATACCCTTTGAATAGCTAGTTATTATGTATTTACATTATGGCGAATGCGCTGGGAAATAATTATTATCTTTAAGAGTGTGTATGTAAAATTGTAAAATGTAAATTAGAATGTTATTTATCCAATAGATTTACGTATTTCAAAAATTTCCTTTCTAAATTACACTTCCAAACGAAGAGTAATGAAAACGTACCATACCAAAACGTAATACTTACCACATATGATGGACATCAGAAACTGAGACTCCATTAAAAATATTATAATTAATACCTTGCTTTTATTATTCTCAACTGCATAGTATAACAAATACAATATTTGCATTTTATTTTGGCCACATATAAGAAGTTTTTCTCTTCATTATTTTTTCATTTTTATTCAAGTTTTAGTAGGTGTTAACTAAATGGCATACACTACAAGATGTTATTGCTTTAAATTATATTTTTAAAACGAGACACGAGACACCTTATACACCAAATACATTTGCTATGTCCTGTTTATTAGAAACGTAATATTATTAAAATATAGCACCTTTTATTCTTATTTTTAATAAATATTTTATTTTTCTTAGTGACAACAATATGAGGCATCAAGAAATCTAGAGAAGCTGAAGCAAAAATTAAGGATGAACAGTAGCTTCGCCTGAAGAAAAATCAGGTAAGAAGTTGCCGATATATTGTTTAATAGATGTGTATGAAATCTTAACTTATTGCATGATCAATTTAAAAAAGCATATCCTTAAAGAACACAATAGTAGATTTGAATAGCAAGTTTTTATATTTTATATTATGGCGAGTGCGCTGGGAAATAGTTATTATCTTTAGAAGAGTATCTAGAATTTTATGTAAATTAGAATGTTATTTATCAAATAGATTTACGTATTTCAAAAATTTCCTTTCTAAATTCCACTTCCAAACGAAGAGTAATGAAAGCGTCGCATATAAGTACCTTACAGTAGGTAAAGGGAAATTCACAATTAAAAACATACTTGCCACGCATGATGGATATCAGAAACTGAGTCTTCTATAAAATCTCCATTTAAAATATTATAATTATTACTGTGCTTTTATTACTCTCAATCGCATATACCGTATGATGAAAAAAACGGTGTCACCATTTTATTTTAGCCACATATAAGAAGTTTTTAACTTCATTATTTTTTAATTTTTATTCGTTTTAGTTGGTGTTAACTAAATGGTATACACTGTAAGATGTTATTGATATAAACTCAATTTTTTAAACGAGACACTTTATACACCAAATATTTTTGCTATGTTTTGTTTATTAGAAATGTAATATTATTAAAAGATCGCACTTTTTATTCCTACTCTTATATAATAAATATTTTCTTTTTCTTAGTGACGGCAATATGAGGCATCAAATCTCGAGAAGCTGTAGCAAAAATTGAGGATGAACAGCAGATTCACCTGAAGAAAGATCAGGCAAGAAGTCGCCGATATATTGTTTAATAGGTGTGTTTGTTACTTAACTTATTGCATGATTAATGTAAAAAACTACCATATGATCAAAAAAAAAAACGGCATCCAGTTGGCTGGGAAATAACGATCAATGACATTTCTCATATAAATTTACATATAAAATGACAGCGGTCTTCATTTCATAGCCATCGCTGACGCCGTTTTTTTTCGATATCATACGGTATATTGTTAAAGATCACAACATTAGTAGATTATTTGAATACCGTTTTTATATTTTTACATTATGGCGAATGCGCTGGGAAATAAGTATTATCTCTGGAAGAGAATTTTATGTAAATTAGCATATTACTTCATTCATCAATCAACAACGTTGACTTTTAATTTTTTTATCAATTATTTTATGTATTACCTTAGTGTATTACTCATGTGTATTACTCTTATGGCGCATTCTCACGACGCGTGTACTTGACAAATGTTTGTAATTGATACATGGTGCGTCGGGCATCTATACAGAAATTCTAAGTTATTTATTATAGGAACTGCGCCGTATTCTCGCCAGACCCTGTATGCCGAAAAAAAATACTTGCCAAGCAGACGAGTTGTGAGAATGCGCCTTTAGATTATTAATCTAACTTTAAAGAGAATTTTTAAATTACGCTGTAATAGAAATATTTTTAAAAAAGAAAAATACACACTTAGAAGGGTCAAAAAATAGATACATCAAAGTTATGTAACTTTTTTTATCTCTTATTCTTATTTAAGTATACTTTAAAAATAATTTTTCAAATATTTTTTATTTAACGCCACTATATGTTGTTTCTTTGTCTTAGTAGTTTCAGATTAATGTTTGTGTTATATCTATTTCTATATATTCTTTTTCAGACCCAATATAAATCTATACATCACACGTCTCCCTATGGCAGAGACAAATCATTATAACTGTCCTTAAAATGGAATGAAGAAATACTGACTAAAGAACATGAAAGCTAGTAAGTTCTTAATAATATTTTGTATTTAAGGTATTCCACTAATCTCGAAATTCTTATAGCTCATTGTCGAAGTTACGATTTGCATCTCGCCGTATCCTATATCCTATGGTTGTGTCGCCTTTCCAAAGCAGTATTTACATTGTAATGACGCCTGTAATTTTGAAAACATGTAATAAAATGGAAGCTTATGGAGCAGGGAAATGGAAGAATAAAAGATAATGTAATAAATTATACCGTATAATCGAAAAAAAAAACGGCGTCCACTTGGCTTGGAAATGATCATCGATGACATTCCCCATATAATTTGCCATATAAAAAGACAGCGATATTCATTTCATAGCCATCTCTGATGCCGTTTTTTTTCGATCGTATGGTATTTTGTGGCATTTGTATTCAGAGCTAGTTTAATATAAACGGGGTCATTTAAAATTTCATTAAAAAGCTATGTTATATTAACATATAATTAACTAATGTAGATAATTTAAATTAAGTATATAATTTAATATATAAATAGGTTTATATAATATAGTACCTACATGTGTATGTATCTATTAATATACATATACAGGTCGATGTGCGTGTTGTGTCATATATTTGTATATGACACACCACACTTATTTATAGATTTAAAGATATCACACTAATAATAATGTAGAATAATGCAGTTAATGTAGAATATACTATGTAACCCCTGTTGATTTTTTAACTTTTAATAAATCTGTTTTAAAAGAATCCTGTATTTCATTTTTGAAAATTTTAGGCTAAATATAGTTTTTAAAAGTTTATTTTGATTGTGGCTCCCTCTGGTGACAAAAATCTGAAACTAAATTTTTAGTTCAGCGTTTTGCCGCAAGAGGGCGCTAAAATCGCATAAATTTTTGACCGATAGTAGCGCCTCTAGCGGCAAAACGTTGAACTAAAAATTTAGTAACAGTCTTTTGTCAACAGAGGGCGCTACGATCGCATAAATTTTTGTCCGATAGTGGCGCCTCTAGCGACAAAACGATGAACTAAAAATTTAGTTTCAGCCTTTTGCCACCAGAGAGCGCTATGGTCGCATAAATTTTCCGACCGATGTGGCGCCTCTAGCGGCAAAACGTTGAACTAAAAATTTAGTTTCAGCCTTTTGCCACCAGAGGGCGCTACAGTATCATATATTTTTGGACGCTTGTAGCGCCTCTAGCGGCAAAACGTTGAACTAAAAATTTAGTTTCAGCCTTTTGTCACCAGAGGGCGCTACAGTAACAAAAATTGTTGTCCGAATGTGGCGCCTCTAGCGGCAAAACGTTGAACTAAAAATTTAGTTTCAGCCTTTTGTCACCAGATGGCGCTACACTAGCATAAATTGTTGTCCGATTGTGTCGCCCCTAGCGGCAAAACGTTGAACTAAAAATTTAGTTTCAGCCTTTTGTCACCAGAGGGCGCTACAGTAGCATAAATTTTTGTCCAATTGTGGCGCCTCTAGCGGCAAAACGTTAAACTAAAAATTTAGTTTCCGCCTTTTGTCACCAGATGGCGCTACAATCGCATTTTTTGGACGATTGTGGCGCCTCTAGCGGCAAAACGCCGAACAAAATAAGTAATATAAATATTGAAAAAAATATTTTTTTTAATTAAAACAACCAAATTTCTCCAAAAATGTATATATTATATTTTTTAAGTTAACAAAAAGAGCGTAATACTAGAATAAAAACCTGACAGAATGAATAAAAACGACTGTACACAATATAGAGAACCAACCGTTTGGTATATTATGAAGGAGCAGGAGGAATTTTTGCTGAATCTTGTAGAAGATGAGTAGAAGCAGGAGGGAAGCAACAGCCAGAAGCCGCAAATTAAATACCTACAAGTAAAAGCACTATAAGTAACGTATATACAGGGTGTCCCACAAATAAGTGCAAATATTTTAACTGGGAGTATAGTTCAACCCAAGAAACACGCCTATGAGGTTTTTTCGCGAAAAAAAAAATTTGAATATTCGAAATTTTTTGGAAATTTTTTTAGTTTTTAGTTAAAAAACATAATTTCTTGATAATATGGCAACATAGGTATTAGATTAAATTTACAAGAAAGAAAATCCAGAAAAGATCCACTGGTTCTCAAAATTTTAGCAAAAAATAATTTTGTTTTTGACAATTTTCAAAGCAAAATAAAATAACTCCGTTATTTTGGACTTATTTGAAAAACGATAAAGAGAAAATATGTTTCTTTGATCGAGATCTACCACCCCTTAAAATATTTGCACATATTTCTGGGACACCCTGTATATATACAGGGTGTTTCAAAACAAATGCGAAAAATTTCAGGGGGCGATTCCTTGTTCAAAATAAAGGGTAGTTTGCTTTATAAATGTTGGGTCAAAAGTCAACCATTAGGGAGTTATCGCGGTACAAAGATGGCGGAAAAATAATGTTATTTTTTATCTTGAAAACGAAAAGCGATAGACTAATGAAATTTTATGGAAGCATTACTGTTATGAAAACACACTTTTTGGTAATTTTCTCACTTTTTTAAAGTGAGTGGAAGGGGTTGAATTAAACTACCCTATCATTCTTGTTAACGAAATTAAAAAAAAAATCTTATCAAACACATGCAAAAAAATTAATTTGGATAGTCTACTTTGTTTAGAAACTTTTTTATGTCTTGTGATTTTTTGATAGAACTCGCCGATTTGAAATTAAAAAATAAAATGTAAAGCATTACATGTCAGGACAAAAAACATTTTTAGATAAAGAATCTAGTTTTCTTTAAATTTCGTTAACAAGAATGATAGGGGTGGTTTATTTCAACCCCTTCCACTCATTTAAAAAAGTGAAAAAAATTACCAGAAAGTGTGTTTTCATAACAGTAAAGCTCCATAAATTTCACTAGTCTATCGCTTTTCGTTTTCAAGATAAAAAATAAAAACATTATTTTTCCGCCATCTTTGTACCGCGATATCTCCCTAATGGTTGACTTTTGACCCAACGTTTATGAAGCAAACTACCCTTTATTTTGAACAAGGAATCACCCCCTGAAGTTTTTCGCATTTGTTTTGAAACACCCTGTATATAAAGTATTTCAATAAGATGCTCAAGAACTGTTAATCTAAATATCTAGGAAAATATTTAAATTTTAATTACTCAAAGGATTTTTATATTACTTTAAAATTACAGTAATTAAAATTTAAATATTTTCCTAGATATTTACGTCTTTTGTCCTTAGAATTTTCTAAGGACAAAAGAGAGCTTTCAAATAAAGAGAATACAGTAGAGATACTATAAAAATGGCAAAACGTAAAACAACGGCAGCTGCATTTTATTTTTTCATTCTGCATGTATCTTTTTCGTTATTTTTTATTGTCCTTCTGTGTTTTTTATTATATCTCTAATGAAGATAAACGATGATTCACACGTAAACATTACCTGGCGCCACTTTCACTCGCGTGGTTGTGATACCGTGTAAACACATCCCCGTACTAATCACTAACTGGCATAAAAAAGTGTTTATACGGTACCACTACCATGCCAGACTATGATGCCAGAGCTGGCGTTCCAGTGAAACTGGCGCCAACTACTGGATACGTGTTACCCACCCTTAAGTATAAAATTAGAAATGTTTCTTACTTTTAAGAAAAATGCTGGTAGCTCTATCAATTTTAAGATTTGTGAACAAGTCAAGACAATCTACTGCTGCTGTTCCATCAACATATGGGAGGTTAGCCGAGTGTTGGAAATATGTATTGTAATGTACCCTAAAATAAAATAAGTAAATAAGTATTGCTATATCTTACTTTAAAATATGCTTTACTTTTAATAATTACTTAAACGTAATCTCTCATATACAATCGGTGACTGGCGGTGGGTAAATACTAAATGGTATAATAATGAAAATTGTGTATAGGGAATATATATCAAACCCATTGAGAGAATATTTCGTCGGGGAACCCCCATGTAAAATTCGATTATCTACCTAACCTAAATTGAACGAGTTTAGTTTTTTACGGAACAGAATGAGAAACTATATAGCCTTACAATGATGAAAGTACCTAAATACCGCTTTGAAACTCCGGCGCGACTCGAACTGTAATTTTCATTTATCTAAGGGCTGAGCTACTTTATCTATAGATAAGAAATGCAGTACTAGAATTTTAAAATAACCCCGACAAAAGTTAAAATGTATTATAAACTTACCACAATTTCCTTATCCTTCCGCCGGAATTTCTTCACTCCCATTATAAAGAGTGTCCCAGAAATGAGTGCAAGTATTTTAACTGGTAGTATAGTTCAACTCCAGAAACACGCCTATGAGGTTTTTTTAGCAAAAAAAAATTAAAATTCGAAATTTTGCGAATTTTTTTAGTTAAGAAACATAATTTCTTGATAATATGGCAACATAGCTATTATATTAAATTTACAAGAAATAAAATCCAGAAAAGATCCAGTTGTTCTCAAAATTTTAACAAAAAATCATTTTTTTGGAAATTTTCAAAGTAAAATAACTCCGTTGTTTTGGACTTATCTGAAAAACGATAAAGAGAAAATATGTTTCTTTTATCAAGATCTACCACCCCTTAAAATACTTGCATTAATTTCTGGGGCACCCTGTATATACAGGACGAAAAGGCAGTTACGTCAGACTGCACCTGGGCATGGCGAATGCCCCAACTTCCTGGACATCGGGCGATTCTCTAGAGTTGGTACACGTCATCAGGTATTCGACGGTGCCTTGGAGAATCCGAAGAAGCTTTGGGACCAAAGATATTTTGGGACCAATCACACGCGTCTTACAATATTTCATCTGGAATCTTCTTTGATTGAATTATCCTAGAAAAATAGAAAAAAATAATCAGCTTCGGAAATATTAACTGATCAAAATCAAATAAACTTACTTTTTAGTTGGTTTTGGGTTGAGCCTGGGCTATGCTAGCCTTTCTATCCCGAATCTCTACCCATAAATCACGTCAGGCAGATGCAAAACAAAAAATTCTTCACGTCGCGTCCGAGGTGTTGTTGCCCTCTTCTGCAGATTTGACCCTTTTCGATGAATATGCCTCACCAGTCACTTTCGATCCCAATTAAAAAAATAAAGCCTCATCTGAGATCATGCATGCTACATATGTAGGTCATCGTAAAGAAGAACATCAAGTTCAGGAGATGATCCAGGTCTCCTCTTCGGAAGAAGGCCGCGTCGCGCTCTGGAGCGTCACCCTTTGATCCAATTCGTCGGGACACCATCTCTCGATCAAAGTCTGAAAAGAAAAGAAAAAACACTGTAATGCCTTTGCAACTAACTAAACGAGAAAAAAAAGGTCGAAAGAAAACGAGAGATCAAGAGAAATCCATGAGAAGAAAAAATAAAAGAATAGATCTCACCCAAGACAATTGAAAAGGGAGTTTTTTTATCCCCTTAAATATTAGTATTAAGAAGGAATAGTCATTAAGGAATAAGGAATACCCTGACAATAGTAATAAGATGACACTATCTGATTAATAAACAAAATAAAATGCAGAAAATATATGTATCACAGTCACAAATTCCAGAAAAACTCAAATCATAAAAAGTTTCTTTATTTTTCAATTGATTTTGAAGGTATTAATTTATTTATATTGTTATATCGTACAAAAAAAAGCATGAAATGACTGTTATGTAAGGATATAGGTAAAAACGATATTTGTTAAAAGTTATTGGAAAAAATAAATAACAAATTTCATATGGAAAAATAAAACTATTAAAGCTAAATATCAACCTAATTCTCCATAGAAATATTATATAGGTATGCCTAATTTATAATTTTTACTCCATAACAGTTCGAGAACAAAAAATAAACAAAGAACTTCATAATTTTAAACAGCATTAAAATTTTCGTTTTGTGAAAATTTTGTGATATTTAATGCTCTGTAATAAATATCTAGGTACTATCTATAATGACCTTAAAACAAATGGAAAACCAATAATTAAAAATATTAAGACAAGAAAAGCGAAGGCGCCATGACGGTTACAAGATTGCAAAAAAAACTTAATCGAGAATCGAGATAAAATGAAATATAAAGAAAATATCGAGTACTCACTATTTGGAGAGCTCAGCGATGTCACAAACAAGAGTTTACGAACAAATATAGTGTACATAAAATTCACTTTTTGTTAAAAAAATCAGAGAATTTTAAATACCGGCGACAGAAAGCTGCGGACCTCTTGGCATTTAAAAGGGACATGCGCGACGCCAATTTCCGGAAGACGGCATGACATATGTGAGTTGACCAATCAGAAGGAAGTCACAGGTGTCACAGCCCTCTTTGTTAACAAAAATTTAATTTGACTTTATATAGTGGGTTAAATTATTAAAAAGTGGGCCAAATTAATGCCGTAATAAACAGTATTGAATTTATTACTCATAAAATAAAAAACTTTTGAGCAGATTTATATACTATACTTGTGAGAAGTTGACAAAGTTGTTATCAGTAGATGTCAAAACAGATGTTCGAGATTATTTCTAATGACATTTGTAGATGGACCAATAGAAATTAATTATTAACCGTGGATACCGCTTAATTAATGTAATGTAGGTTACTATAAAAGGAATGGGAAAACATAAGTCAAGTTTACTACAAATAGGGCAGCTTTCATTGTTGAAAAATGGATAAAGTTTATAGGTCCCTTATAAGAAATAGTGTTTTGGGGATATCTCGAGAACGGATAGGGCTATTTCCTTAAGCGAGGTCTCGTTGGATTCAGGGATGGAAAAGAAATGCCACGACAATAGTTTCATCCCTGTGTAACCCCTATTTTAGAGGTAGTTTGTATTTTTTAGGAATAATCGAGAACAGATGGGACTATCGACTTAATTCAAGGTATCGTACCGCTACAGTTCCAGCCCCCTACAACCCCAATATAATGGGGTAGTTTTTGATTTTAGATATTTTTTTGTAAATAAATCGAGATATAGGAGGATTATATCGACTTAGTTGATGTGTCGTTGGGTTCAAAAGGCACATTAGGCACCAACTTACAGTGGCTCTTCAACCCTCACCAACCTCTATTTTAGAGTTAGTTTTCGATTTTTGATGTTTTTGGAAATAAATCGATTTTTCTTTATTGGACTCATGAGCAAAAAAAACATATAAATAATATGAAAAGCCCGAAATATTTAAGAACGATGAGAAAATGTTACTTTACAAGGCGCAATTCAACCATTAATTTCAATATCAGGCAACAAACGTTTATTTATTTGGAAAATAATTATGAGGCTCAAAAACTGTTTCTTTATTCCAAGTTCAGGCAACCAGTAAAACTGCTCGAAGAAAATTATTAAGCTTTTTTTAAATAGATTTTCCCAACGAAACATAGATACTTTATTATTTTTACTCTAATATAATTGAATTATTTAGAAATAAATGCTTTTCAACCGACTTTAAACTTTTTCAAATTAACTCTTAGTTAAATTATACATAGGTACTTCTCCTACAAAACATTAAAAAAACATTTTCATTCAACGGTAAATACATACATTAAAAATGTTATTCTCATTATAATTGGGTTTATTTCAAGGATAATTTTAATATAGAGCGGTATTTTTAAATTTTTGATTTTATGTTGAAATGTTTCTGAAAATAAATTTTCTATGGACTGCAAATAAAAAGTATATTTATATTTTCCTGTATTTTAAGGCAATTTGAATTTTGTTTAAAACTGTCCTAGTCCTAGCATTATATAGACAGTGGTACCATCTATCAAGCTAACAATCGAATGACATTAAAAAACTTTCTGTAATAGAGTATTCAATTACTATCATAACTTGTTATAAAATATATTTTTGAGATACTTAATTCAATTTTCGCGTAATAACAGCAAATGCATTTAACTTCGCACATATAAAAAAAGTGACAATGTTGTACAACGTTTATACTAAGACTCTGTATATGTACCAATCTGGCATATTCTACGCCACGCTAAGTCTAAAAATAATCTTTAGGTGAACTTTTTCAGTATGATCCAACATCGCTATAACTTTATTTTCGGAACTCTAGATGTATTATAATGTATTATTTTAAGTGTTTTCTTATTTTACTTGTTTTTGATCTAAGACTAAAATGTTCTTCTTGTTCTTTGCAAGGAGAAGAGTAAGTATTATCTTATTAAAAGCAATTTAAGTGTTAAAATAATAATCATTTTTACATAGAGTGGCAAAATGGGCAAATGCAATAGGAGAAGATTTGTGGAAATTAGGTAGAGAAGTTACTAAAATAACCGAAATTAAACAGGTAGTATTAATATGTTATGAATTTTAGATTGTCCTACTTAAAAAATCTAAATTATATATTTTTACTTTAGAAGTATGCATTTCTGAATGCCAGAGTTGAGAAAAAAGATTTAACAATCTTACTACAGGAGATAAAAGAAAATATCTTAAGAATGATGGACAGAAAAATGGACGCTATAAGGGTAAAAACTTTCCTGTATAAGTCAGAACGAAGTGTAAAAAATGATTAACTTGTAGTGCATACAACAAGAAGCTGAAAAAGTAGCTGAGACCTTCAACATTGACCGTGACGTACAATTCAAATATTACAGCTCTAAATGGTCATCAACTGAAGGAGCCGAACCGACAAAACTGCCAAAATCTTTAAAGAAAAATCGACACATGTATTTAACCATGGTGCTAAATAACGATACTCATTTTTATAATCTACCAGTCAACACCAGCCATAGTTCCGTACATGTCCCAACAAACGTCTATGATAAAGGTACATTGCTATTAATGAAGGTTTCCCATATCATTTCAACTAGGTATATTTTTATAGAGGAAAAGGTGGCTGAAGCAATTCAATGGTCTGAAGCTTTAGACAAGGTGTTTGCTCAGAATTACAAATCAGATCCCGCCCTGTCCTGGCAGTACTTCGGTAGTTCTTCTGGAATAATGCGCCATTATCCAGGTGTCTTCATTTGTGTATTTAAGAGTTTATACATGTCGGATATTTTTAGCCACGCTTCTATAACATAATATTTTGCCTTTAGCTATGCACTGGGAAGAACACAAAAAGGAAATCAAAGATCTGTTTGATTGTCGCATTAGGACTTGGTTTATTGAAGCTGCCACTTGCACCAAGGACGTCGTTATTCTTATAGATAATTCTGGTTCCATGGACGGTAAGCTCTTATATGTTTATGGCGTATAGTACACATTTTCATTTAATTCTTTATAACTGTTAACATGTCTTGTAGGACATTTTAATTGACGGTTTTAAATAAAACTCTAATTACTCTAATGACGTTTTTCTAAGAGTTATTCCGGGGGGTGTCTCACTATTGGAATTACATGTACATTTTCTTGGCAGTCGCTGGCAGTCTTATGGCAGTCACCTATCATAATTACATGGCAGTCATAGACAGTCTTCTTCATACTCATTGGCAGTCGCTTAGCAGTGGAAGGATATTTTGGCAGTACGTGTACATTTTTTACCCGAGTGAGACACCCCTCGAGTTATTCTAAAAAAATCTTCTTAAACAGTTTACTATTTCCCTTAATTAATAATAAAATAAAATATTCAACAGAGTTTCAAAAAACATAAGCGTTGAAATGATTTTTATATTATAATAAATATTTTTATAAAGGTTATTATGAATTAAAATGACATTAACTATAAATATAAATGACAAAATCTATTTTATATTACGTTCATTTTTTTTATTATTTTATGACAAAACCCCCAAATAAATTGTACTTTTATAATTCAAAGGAATGGGCAAACATATAGGAGCTTTAACAGCGTACAGTATATTAGATACTTTTTCGAATAATGACTATGTAAATATTCTATACTATTCGGAAAAGACAGCGTACGTAGTGCCATGTTTTGAAGATCAGTTGGTGCAAGCAACAAAAGAGAATATTCGTTTATTTAAAGATGCTATCAATAGTTTGGAACCGAGCGGAAAAACCCTGCTTGAACCGGCACTGGAAAATGCTTTCCAACTTTTGAGTGACGTAACATAATAAATACGGCTTCATTTCTTCTGATCGTTTTATCTCCTATATGTTTTAGTACCGTACAAAACGTGGCTGCGATAACGAAAATAGCACTGATTGCAATCAAGCTATCATGATATTAACTGACGGATTAAACGCAAATTACAGCCAGCTAGTGATGAAACATAATTACTTATTTAACGGAACAAACATTCCTGTCAGAATATTCACTTATCTTATTGGACAGGAAGTTACTAATGTCGAAGAGAGCAAATGGATGTCTTGTGCCAATAGAGGTCTTAGAATATGTTTCGTCTTTACATGTCTAACTTGCTTAATTTTATAGGGTACTATACACACGTACAAACGTTAGAACAAGTAACAGCAGCAGTACTCCAGTATATTTATGTAGTAGCCAGGCCTCTAGTATTACAAGCTGAGGATCATCCAGTGTCTTGGACTCACGCTTATGCAGATCTCACAGTATAGCATCCTGCGCCTATACATAAAATTGTAGTTATTTTAACGCTATTTTTATTTCAGTATGACGATGCCACTGATATAACTATAAATGAACCTTACAGACTCTTGACGTCAGCGGCTATTCCTTGTTACGATATGAAAATAAATAAACAGAACGATACAAGAACAGCGGAATTGTTAGGAGTTGCAGCAACTGATGTGCCTATCGATGAGTTTCAAAAATTAATTCGTCCATATAAGGTAAAGGCAACCTCTAACAATTCTTTAAAACTATTTTGTTTTCTTAAATTCTTTTAGATCGGTGTAAACGCTTATGCATTTATTGTAAGTAATAACGGTTATGTATTAATGCACCCTGATCTGAGGCCAGTATTTAATGGAATACTGAAAGAAAACTACAACAGTATCGATTTAACGGAAGTGGAACAGCATGATCATGATTTACCAGATGAGGAAAACGGCAAGAGGCAAATAAGCGAAACATTAAGAAAACTTCGATCAGCGTTAGTTAACGGTTCAGAAGGAAGCATGCACAATGTTACGCTGAAATACCACTACGATGATAATAAGAGAGTGGCAGAGGAACTGTACGATTACTACTTTGCGCCTCTAGAATACACGCCATTTTCAATCGCTATAGCGCTGCCTAGTACTTATGGAAAGTATTCCTTAGATGTCGGAGATGAAATTCAAAAAAATCGACACACTGGAGAAAACTTAACGTCATTTTTCAAAGGAAAATGGAAAATCCACCCCAAATGGTAACATTGGTAACCACAGCAATTTTTAAGCAGTTAAAAAATACAACAATTTTCAACTTTTTCAGGGTATATTGTCGTTATCACTACTTGGAAGGGCATGAATTTGATACTCCCGAAGAAGAATTAATACATTTCCTAGGCAAAATGTACGATATGGATTTTAAATGGGAAAGACAGTATGAACCAATGGAAACTGAAGATATTAATCAAAGTCAGTTAGTCAGTTAATCACTAAATAATAAGATCGTAAGCATCAGCTTTTTCTAGTTGAATGTGGTCGAAAAACCTTAGGAGATGACGATTATTACTGCGATAAGCAACTAGTCCAGAGACTTATTTTTGATGCCAGAAACACATTTGAACCTTTCAAAGAAAAATGGTCCTTTCAGTCCGATTTTGAGAGACAACTATTTGAAAAATACAACGTCTCTTTGAGATTTGTCGCGACTATGAGCGGCCTAACCCGTTGGGATTACATATTTCGCAATGAAACTAAATCAAAAACTAAGTAGGACAGAGTTTATGAATAAATTTGTCATTTTAAAGCTAAATGATTTTTAGGGAATTCGGTGATCTGCATCCAAGAGCTATACACGAAAAATGGTATAAAAGTGCCGTACTCCAACACAAGTACGACACAGACTCGTTTGTATATTCCGTGCCATTTAACACTAGTCCAGATAAAGACGATTTGGTTACAGCCAGCTACGCCATTTTTGTTAACGACGTCGGACTTGAAGCTCCCGCTTCGGTAGTGGGCTTCCAATTCTCTCAAGCTAGTTTTCAAAATAAAGTAGTCAATGTATCGACGCGTCTATCGGTATGATAGTTTTTTGTTTTAAGTATATAAAACAAATATATTCTACCATGAAATTGTAGAATCAATGCTCACACTGTGATAAATGTGGAGATAAGCTAACATGCTACGTGGTGGACAGTTCTGGATATATAGTTGCCTCGAAAGACAAAACAGGTCAATTTTTCGGAGAAGTTGAAGGCGATATCTTTGAATCTATGCTGAACTATTCTGTTTTCAAGGAAAAAATACTGAACGACTATCAGGCTCTATGCCAGTTGGTGGAACAAAACAGCAGTTCCAGTCCAACAATGCACACTGTAATTAGTTTTTTCAAATATCTATAAATACAAATTTATTTTGTACAGAACCATTTCAGCCCATCTATTACATCAGTTCAGTGTTTAAATGGTTTGTTTTAAAAACACTATACTTGATAGGAAAAATAAATTTATATCAAATATTAGATCCCTTAATCTCCATGGCGCAAGAAATTGCTGGTAATATTAAATTAAGTAAAAAATTATATTACTAAAATGTCAATTTTAGAAAATATTTCTGATTCTGAAGCTGAAGATGGTGATTCAAAGGATGACGAAAATGAAGTTCCAGACAGTGAGGATGATGATGATGAGGATGGTGAATCAGATTCTGATGATTATACTGACGACGATAACAAATATACAGCGTGTGAGAATAAAACCACCCTATATATTTTACAACAGTCCCTGTTTATAGATGGAAATTTCCTTGGTGAACTGTTTACTTCTGAAAGGTTGGTGTACTGATTTCCAAAATTTAAAACCCTCATTAATTTTTTTTTGTAGAACATATTATTATGTAAAGAGAATTCCCAACAGTAATTTAATTTTTGTGGCCATCCAAGGAAAAACAAATGTAGAGGGGAAAAAATATACAACCACCCCCCAAACGAACTCAAGTCTCCCACCACTCGACTGGACCTTTGTAGTAAGCGATACTCATCTACCATGTCAAAAATTGCATCTAAACTCCCTACCAAGAAGAAGGCTCACTGGATGTTACAACGAACACTATTTGGTAAGCTTTGGTAATGGTAACTCTCTATTAAGCACGTTTTTTAATAAAATATTACATTTTTCAGGAACATGAAATCAAAGCTTGTGGCAAAGCATCACCAATAAAAGACTTATCACTGAATGTATTTATTTTAAGTTTCATTCTAAAGTATTTTTTAAATTATTCTATATTGTAAGTATTCATATCAAAATAGAATAAAATACGTTAATGTTAAATAGAGTTTTAACTGATACATAATTTTTAAGAGAGACAAAAATAAAAATAAAAAAAATGCTTAAAATATATTCGCGTGGTGGTGGTGTTCAAATCGTTGAGTAGAACGTAATATTAATTAAGAAAGTTCTATCATCGGTACCATTCACAGATACCGTTCCATACTGGTTTTAAATTTATTTCATTATATGTCGTGGGGAAAAAACTATTAATTCTATAGAATAATGCCAGTGAATTCAATACAGCTAAATAATCAGTATTTATTAAAATATATGCAACTATTCTAAACATTTACAATTTTCTTTGTGTGAGCCATTAGGAAAAGGAAGTAGAATGTAGAGTGAGTGGAAGGGGAGTTAATCACCGCGACCTTAAAGATCTATTGTGTCCCCCTTTATTGAGTTATAACTCTCATCATACTTATCATCAGTTCAGAGTCAATAACTCATATCATACATGGGAATCTTCCTGTTGTAGAGAGGACAAGGTATTTCCCATTCTCCGCTGACTACAAGTGTTCATCCTCCGAAAAGTGGATTTTTGTCCTCTGTGTCCTTCAGTGGAAGAGCTTGTCTCCGGGACAGGTACACTTGAGGTAGAGACTGGAGGATCTGTCTCCATTTTCTCCACCTCTTTAACTTGGTCTCTCCTTAGACCTGATACGCACCCCCTTGATCTGGTCCTGCCATCACAGGATTTAAGTATTTGGTGGGGTTGTCTCCTCTTGGTCTGGGCGGTTAAGCTAAGCCCCCTCACATACACCCGTGATACATAACCACAGACAGTAGAGGATGCCTGGTATGACGGACGTAGTCCCATCCAGCATCGTTATACGTCTTGGTGCAATTCTCTGGCCACGACACTACAGCCAGGGACAAGACAATGAGATGTTCCTTAGACCCAGCCAAAGTGCCAGAGGGGATTTCCCCTAGCACCTAACTAGGAGCTTCCCCGCCAAAGATAAGGTCTCGCATCTCCTAAAGAAATAAAAAGAAAGTAAAAACACTGAATAATTTTTTAAACATACACTGTATTTTTAATAATTTTTTCGAATAGACAATATAAATAAAAATATTTTAAAAATCAATCTAAACAGTAAAAAACATCCTATTTATAATATAAATAAATCACAGAATATTCACCGTTCTTAACATAACAACGCAATTTGATATTAAGTTTGTTCAAGAACTTTTTAAGCACTGAGCATGTTGAAATTTAACCCCCAAAAGGAAAGAACTAATAATTTAGCTTAATAAAGTAGATTACATTCACCTGCGATATTTTTTCACGTCTTTATAATTGATCACATATATATTTAATCTAACGCATACAGAGATGTTTTCTAATATTCCCTTAAAAATTATTTTTACATACAAAATTTTGAAATACGTTTAGTTATGTACATCTTAAGTTAGGAACAAAATCACTGAACTTTTCTAATAAAATAAAATATATAAAGCTCTACAGATATTTTATTTTCACCAAAAACATTATCCCTATTTACCACTAGTCTACGAAAATCTTTAGAAAAAATGGCACTGGCATTATAATAGTTGTTAATTTTTTTGATCAAACTTTTAACATTTATTAGTGCCTGTAAGATTCGTCTAGACTAATCATTCTAATATCAAACCAATCAAAAAAACTGTTAGGAAACCTCATCCTGTCTCAAATACTACAAGAATTGCTTAAAGTGTGACAAAATGCCATGCTAAAAATAATCTCTTATGAAGAGAAATGTTGGAGTATTTCAATTTTTTGAGCATTTTCTAGAAATAAAGATCATTTAAACTGGGTCGTGATTATTTTTCAGTGGTTCTTGAGCCTAAAAATAAAAAAATAATAATTATTAGTAAAAATATTTGCATAGTGTTTATTACATTGCTATAAAAAATATTAGAATACAAAAAAAAATCATGCTACACAAAAAATCATTGGCAAAAAAAAACAAATGATAATTTCAATATACTTACATAACGTAAAAATCAAAAAACAAGTTATAAATATTTTTTAAATATGCTTCGCTTATTTGAATGCCCTAGAATACCATACACTTACCAAAATGAGCCATCTCTCATGGTGTACGCATGAACCAAAAAGAAATTTTTAGAAAAAAAGGTTATAACATAAAAGTTTCCTATGCTAACCTCAAAGATTATTTTTTTACTACGTTATACTTAATTGTAAATGTTTACATATCATGCTATAAATATCTTCAATGTTTTTGGCACATATACTGATAAAATAGATATATAAAAATATTTGTATAATTTATGGAAGCTAGTAATACTGACAGTTAAGGGAGCAATAAGTTATTAGTGAATTCCGAAAAAACATATTTTGAGCTCACAATTCTCAATAATTGTTAATCACAAACAAGCACAGTTATTTTATCATTCCATATGTGGAAGTTTAGGCTATTTTAACAAGACAAATTAGAACTGAAACAAATGTTAGTGACGCAATTACACAAAAAATAACAGAGACATATACATAGTTAGATTTAAAAATTATCTAGAAATATTGTAGTCTAAAGCTAGAGCTCTCACCTCTTCACCGACGGTACTTGGATAGTGCTTCACGGGATAATTGTTTTTCTCCAGTGAAAATTGATCTTCCGTTGTCTTCCTGTATACTGGATTGTCAAAGTTCATTGACGTCACGTTGCGATGTTTCAGACGGTTATATAACATATAGGCACCCTGAGGACACAATCATATGAAATTTGCATCAAACGTCATTTAAAAAAAAACTTACCAGTGCAAGAAGTAAGATGGAAAATACCAGTACTGTAATGGCCCAATATGCCACGCCTCCACTATCAAGGGATTCCGGGGTAGACACACCAGGGACGTTCTTAGATCGACTTGTCGTGCCTATAATACAATAAAGATAATATATAAGATAATATATTATGTCTTCACAATAATTATAACTTAGAAAAAAAAAAGAAAAATTAGAGAAAGATCTAGAAAAAGTTATTGGTAAAAGTAGCGAATAGAGTATAGGATTATTAAGACTAAAGAAGCTACGGGAATATACAGGGTGTGCCAAAAAGTTCGCAATAATTGGGATTTTTTATTATTATTCAGTTATTGAACAAGTTTCTACCGAACTTCTATAGCATGTCCAATAATTTAAGAATAAAAAATCCATTTCTTGCGAACACTTTCGCACGGCCTGTATATACAGCTAGAAAAATTGCGGACACCACCACCAGTAAGAGACGCTAAGTTAGGTTAGGGGCGCTGTACTCACTCTCTGGGAAGGGGCCCACTCGCGGTGAATATGGCTTAGACTGTGAGGGTGTACTTGTTGTAATAGACTCTGCCAACCAAATAAAACAAAAAATAAACACGTGAAACTTGAAGGCGAATGAGAGCAGAACATTAATAAAATAGTCTCTTTTCTGAACCACTTTTAATTGTGCTCACAAATTTTGTGATTTGAACTCAAAGTAGTTTTAGAGAAGATATAACAAAACTTACCGTCTTGGACACACGTTATTTCATCGGAGAGCATTCTCAAGCCTTCTGGGCATGCGCACGAGATGAATGGTGCTCTGGATCCGACACGGGGAGCAGGCAAACATAAATGAGAACAATGCCCGTTGACAGGTTGACAGTGATTTTCAGCGTCCGGCTGACGATATGGATGGTACACGTGAATAACCATTGGATTCTAATTAGACAAAAACTCTACTAAGTACTCATTAACTTAACAAATAAACGTGATAACATACCAAAACCATCTCTGTTGCAGTAATGGGACTTAGATCTTTGCCGGTGAATTTATTGGCACGGAATACTGCTGCTCTGTCCCAATCTGTCCAATAAAGCCAGTCCTCAAATGTGGTTATAGAAAATGGATGCCTCAAAGCGTTTGCAGAAAACAAAATAAGCTTCCTATTTTGGCCATCCCAGTCGCAAGCAGAGATAGTGTTGAGTTTGGCATCAGCCCAATAAAGTCGCTTTTTAACAAGATCTAACGTCAAACCGTTGGGCCACCTAGAAATAATAATGTATATTATATAAGAGAAGAATTGGAAGTCTATATTATATGATTAAAGGTAACATAAGTCATGAACATACCTGACATCATAAGTTACAATAGCTTGTCTATGAGTTCCATCCATGCCAGCACGTTCAATACGAGGTTCTTGTCCCCAGTCAGTCCAGAACATCCAGCCTTCAAGAGGATCAACAGCAATGGCTCTAGGTTCTTCTAAATTATCACGGATTAAAATTTTTCGCATCTGTCCATCAAAGTTGGCTAAAGAAATGGTGTTCGTGCCAGTGTCAGTCCAGTAGAGATGCTCATATACCCAGTCGACAGCCAAACCGTCAGAAGTAGTTACTTCATCTGACACAACCTAAACAATTAGCAAAAAATTACAATATACATTTATAAATTACAAGCGTAGTTGAAACTTACTACTGTTTTAGCATTGCCTTCATCAATAGGAGCTTTGTAAATTTTCTTATCAGCAACATCACTCCAGAAAATCATACCAGTCCGGAAGACGAAATCCAGAGCTGTTGCAGAGTTTGTTTCATTGACAATGCTGGTCATCTCGTGGTGGTCCAAGGAGATTTTACGTATGTCGCGACGTCTGGCAAATAACAACGATGCATGACCTTCGACAGCTTTGCACTTGGTATGGTCTCGAGGATCTCTGGCATAACCAGCCATGCATTCACATTTGAAACCGCCCTTTTCATTATGACAAATCTGCGAACAACTTCCTTCGATCTCACATTCGTCGATATCTTTGCAGGTACGATTATCATGGGTGAGGGCGTATCCATGACGGCATTCGCATCGAAATCCTGCAGGAGTATCTACACAGCGATGGGCACAACCTCCATTGTCATGAGCACATTCATTGACTCCGCAGCTGTTTCTTGGTTCGTCTTCCCAAGCGGGGCAATCAGGTTTACCATCACAAACGTGGCTTAGTGGGACACACGGGCCCCCAGGACCACAAGAGAAGTGAGTGATTGGGTCACAAATTGCAGCGGGTTTGCCACAATCGCGTTCGTCGCTTCCATCCATGCAGTTCGGGTGGCCATCACATAACAGCGCTCCTGCGATACAAGAACGATCTGTGCATTGAAACTGGTCAGGTCTGCAAGTGATATTGGCGCAATGAGAAGGTTCTTCATCTGAACCATCGGGACAATCTTTGGTACCGTCGCAGAGCCAGCTTTTATGGATGCAAGTTAAATGATCGTTGCATTCGTGCTCAGAATTTAAGCAAACTGAGGCGTGAGGACGGAGAGGGCATCCCTGCTCGTCCTTTCCGTTAAGACAATCATATTCGCCATCGCAACGCCACCTAGACGGAACGCAAAATTTCTCGCTGCACTGGAATTCGGATTCTGGTGCGCAGCTAACAGCGGGGCAATCTGCTTCATCAGAATTATCGCCGCAATCGTTATCAGCGTCGCAAACCCATTTCTTTTGAATGCACTTCCCGTTTTTACATGTAAACTCGTCAGCACGACAAGTCTCATCTGAAAAAAAGGGTTTAACGCCATTTTAAATTAACGAATTTACAATCCTTTTAACAAGTTAACTTAAAATTAACTTTTTCAACAAACTGTAGAAAATTCAAGTGTATAGCATTGCTAATATATTTGTGACACCATTATGTAAAAGAATGTAAAATATTTCTAGTAATTATTTAAATGACCAAAATAAAAGATAACTGAAATTAACAAATAAAAAATGCAGAAAAAACTTACTGCAAGATTTCTCATCACTGCCATCTGAACAATCTGGGTTATCGTCACACATCCACGTTAGTGGTACACATTCTCCTGGGGAGGCCTTACAAGTAAACTCGTCTGCGCCGCATTTCTTTTGTTCTAATAACGAAAAAACGTCAACGTTTTAGTAAAAACAAATTTCACTTTCCAAAACTCAAACTTACGACAGATGTGTTCATCCTCATCGCTGTTATCGCTACAATCAATATCATTGTCACACTGCCAGTGGCCAGGAATACACTTGCCATTGCCACATCTAAATTCGTTTTTACTACAAGTCACATTTTCTAAAAAAAAATCCTTCAATTCCAAACAGTTATAATAAAAATTGGCTTTAAAATCGTGAAATAGTAGAGATATTAAAAATATAATTAGTGAAAATTATTAAAAATTTAATTTATATCTGCCCTGATGATTTTTACATACAGAGTGACAATTTGAACAGTAGCATTCAGGAATATCTGCTGAGAGAGATCTCAAAATCTAATCGTACGATTTAAGATTTTGCTAAAAGACTATAAATAGAAAGCAACGAGCTTTTCAACGACAAGGTAACACACACACAGGTAAGTTCGCAGTAAAAAATTAGTCGGGGTGGCTACCCTCTAAGGGGTGAGGTTACCCATCCAATCCCCTGATATGTATATTGAAATCTTCCTATTAGTATTTCTTATCCAAGAGATTGGATATTGCGTATCCACCCTTTAGGTAAAAGTGGCTTTAAAATAAATTATTAAACTTTAGCTTTAATTTAAAAAACTCATGTTAGATTATCGGCATCTTCAATGTGCAAAAACATTTTTTCCTGCTGTAACTTTTATGTTTTAAAGATTAGTATAATTATAGTAGAACATAAGAAAATTTATTCTACAGTTATCTAATAAATTATTTATTTATGCCCGATGCAAAAATATGTAACTGAATTTGATATATTATCAAGGAGTCGGCCTGATTATAAGAAAAAACTGTGTTAAATTTTGCTAGATATAAACAAAACTTTGACCGACTTATTGTAACTTAACCTTTATTTGATCTAATCGCAATTAAAGCGGCGCTAGAAGACACAATATTTATGTTTACATAATATTATTATATCCTGGCATCTACTATTTTTTACAAAGGTTATTAAAATATAATCAAATCTACGTATTAAGTTCACAGTTCACACAAAAAGGGATCACTAATTAAAGGATTTTAATTTCCCAAAAGGTCACTAGACGAAAAAAAATATACATACATATATTTAAAAAAATGCGATACTAAAATATAAAAATAAAAAAAAAGAAGTAAAATTTAAAAAAAATCTTTTAAAAATTCAGAAAAATAAAAAATATAAATAAATTAACGAACCTGGATTTGATATAACAAGACCAAGAGAAAAATCTATGACTAGGAAGAGTAACAAGAAGCTATATAAAAACTTCATCACTAAACACAAGTGAACCAACCGACCACGACGAAATGCTGTCTTAGTGTAAACTTGACAGCGCGACTTCTTGTGCGTTTTCTGCTTATGTCTCCCCCAGATTTGCCCACTGCGATAACATTTAACTATTCCGATTTATACACTCTTCATCAAAAAGATTGACAATCACTATCGGCAGTTTCACACACATTTATTTTTGTTTTTAGTATAACAGTATTTCCAAAAATATATATATGTCGAAACCTAGTCAATACTATTGATAAAATAAAGATTTTTAGTAATAGATTCTATGAAAATTAAGTAAAATATTTTCTGCTCTTTCTTAATAACTGAGAAAAATATCATTATCAATTAGGAATTTTAAACATCAAAAATAAATAAAATAAAATTGTTTGTATTTATTGGGCAAAAAAATTATTTATATTTTTTACAAAAACAAAAATAGTTGCGTACTTCAATAACTTTGAATTAACAAAATAATTATAATAATAAATAAAATAAATTTTTAAGATATATAATATATCAAATAGTTCCAGTAAAAAGAAAATATAGATATTAATATACAAATAAATCCATAGAACTCTCAGTTTTTGTAAAGTATCTCGACAAAAGAAACATATTTTCTCTTTGCCGTTTTTTCAAATAAGTCCAAAATAACCGAGTTATTTTGTTTTCAAAATTTAAAAAAAATATATTTTTTGCTTAAATTTTGAGAACCACTGGATTTTCTGGGGTTTCTTTCTTGTAAATTTAATCTACTACCTATGTTGCCATATTATCAAGAAATGACGTTTTTTAACTAAAACCCTGTTAAAACATTTTTCAAAAAATAAAAAATTTCGGTAAATCATATTTTGCGATGAAAAAAAGTTCTTATTGCGTAAAATATATCGATTTCTCTCAGAGACACCTCAGTAGCATTTAAAAATATATTTTTTTAATTTCTCATAATTCTATATTAAAATGAAGAGAAGTAACATATTTTTTAATATTATATAAACATAAACAGCCAACAATCAATTTTATTTGGAAGAGTATATATTATGTTTAATAGGTGCTCTGGACGCAAGGTAGGTATCTGATGTAACTTTCTTCAAGTTTACAGCGCGTCAGCTGAAAAGCCGTACTGGTCAAATTATACCTTTGATGGGCTTTTTTTTCTCGCTTCAAGGATACTGAAAATGATTTCTTATATGCTTGGGACATAATTGAAAAGAAAAAAAATAAAGTGCCTCTATTATATATGCATGTAAAATAGGCAAGGGACTAAAAAAGAATTAAGGACAATTAATAAAAAAGCACTGACAGTATAATTATCAGCAACAGCCCACTATGACGACTTTTCTTGGATATTATGGTACTTTTTTGTGAAGTAGTCTTAAATATTACTCACAGGGTGAATCTTAAATAAGTTTTTAGGAAATATTTTCAGGGCTGACAGATTCTAATAAAAAAATCATATTTTTTCTTTACCGTTTTTCAATTTTTTCAAGTCTAAAATAACCGTGTTATTTTACTTATAAAATTTCCAAAAAAAAAGGATTTTTTACTAAAATTTTAAGAACCACTGGATCTTTTCTGAGTTTTCTTTCTTGTAAATTTAAGCTACTATCTATGTTGCCATATTAGCAAGAAATTATATTTTTTTAACTAAAAAAATCCAAATTTTTTTTTTCAAAAATTCCCAATTTTCAATTTTTTTTTCGCGAAAAAACCTAATAATTCTGTTTTTGGGGTCGAAATATACTACCCCTAAAAATATTTGCACTTATTCAAGAGTCACCCTGTATACCACAAAAATTCACAAAAAATTTAAAATATTTTCAAGATTATAGTTTATTAACATTCGATATTACTTATTCTATTGTTTACATCCACTATACATATGCAGTACCATTGTATACAAATACTGCAAGTGATGCTGATACATGTAGCATATCGATTTTTATAGACAAAGTTATTCTTTAAAAAACACATTTATCTTACTACACTTCGTATACAGGGTTGTTCACGACATACGACACGGAGTATTGTAGCTAAACGATTAGATTTTTACAAATTGTAAGTTTTGGATTCGTTGAAGGACTATTAGAACTACAATTTAAAAATGTTTTTACAAGATACAGAGTGTCCCAAATAAATAAAAAATATCAAAGTTGTATTTTTTTAAATGGAATACCCTGTATATTATTACATTTTTAGTTTCTACGATTAAAATAAAGGTAAATTTGATAAAGGTTTATTACACTTAAACCTTACCGTTTTTGAAATATTTTCAATTTTGTGAAATTGCAGTCAAAATTTTAACGCTTCATTTCTCCAAGGGTATGAAAGTTTTTGATACTAAATATTTACTGAAGTTTATTTATTGATCAGTTATTGTGCTGCAATAATAAAAATTGTACTACCTTATACAGAGTGTCTAAAATGTTATTTTACATAATTACTAGCTATAAACGGCAATAACTTGTTAAATTTAAATGGAACACCCTGTATATTTTATGAGAATCAGATGCACAATTTAATTGTCTATCAAATTGTATTATACCATTTTTTACCTATAGCTTCAAGTTTCCGTAGAAAATGCATTTTCATGTAATTTTAAATTCGTTTATCAATATACCCATGGAATACTGACATTTTAGATTATTTTTAAAGATGTAGGTACCAAATTTTTAAAGAGTACAGATACTAATATTGTCGATATAGTTTGTTTATTTCATTAAAAAATAGAAAAAAAAACTGTTTAAATATTTGTTAAAGAGGACCAATTAATATGATTCCAGTATTCAAACTACATTAATTAACTGTTTGAGTTGATTAATAATAATTGCTCCAAAAACTAAAAAACTGAATTTTTTATGTGTATTAGACAGTGTGGTAAAAAGTAACACCTTAAAAATGATATTTCATTTTTTGACAAATGCTTATTTGTAACAACAACATATTATTATATTGATTTCTGATTCAAATCCACATTTATTTAGAAGTATTAGTATGTAATTAATTAGTATTTGGGCGGAAATAATGGTGGTATATTTAATTAATGGTATACTCTTTTATGAAGATTTAAATAGTTTTCTTTTTGCATACAAATGGGCTAGTAATATTATCATTTTGCTAAAAACGATAATATTACTAGCCTGTACATTTTGTTTGACATTTGTTGCTATAAAAACAATCTAAAATGTCAATATTCCATGGGTATATTGATAAATGAGGTCTAAATTATAAGAAAATGCATTTTATACGAAAACTTGAAGGGATAGGTAAAAAGTGGTATAATACAATTTGATAGACAATTAAATTATGCATCTGATTCTTTTAAAATATACAGGGCGTTCCATTTAAATTAAACAAGTTATTGCCGTTTAAAGCTAGTAATTATTTAAAATAAAATTTTAGACACTCTGTATAAGGTAGTATAATTTTTATTATTGCAACACAATAACTGATCAATAAATAAACTTCAGTAAATATTTAGTATTAAAACTTTGATACCCCTTGGGGAAATGAAGCCTTAAAATTTTTACTGCAATTTCAATAAAATTGAAAATATTTCAAAAAACGGTAAGGTTTAAGTGTAATAAACCGTTATCAAATTTACCATTATTGCAACATAATAACTGATAAATAAATAAACTTCAGTAAATATTTAGTATTAAAAACTTTGATACCCTTGGGGAAATGAAGCCTTAAAATTTTTACTGCAATTTCACAAAATTGAAAATATTTCAAAAACGGTAAGGTTTAAGTGTAATAAACCTTTATCAAATTTACCTTTATTTCAGTCGTAGAATCTAAAAATAGAATAATATACAGGGTGTTCCATTTAAAAAAATACAACTATAGCATTTTTTA